AATTGAATTTATTTCCGGCACCTTTGGCTAGCCGGCATTCATCCAACTAAATGACCAGTCGTACCGATGCTTTTCGAACTGGTTTATATGTTTTATTTTAGTTTGTAGCACTCTATTAGAAATTCTAAGTACAAATACATAAGCTTTATATGTTCCATGTCATTTTTCAATTTATAAATTATTTTCAATTTTTACCGATCGAAAAATGACTCGGGGAGTTCTTAATGCAGATCATTGAACTTAATAAAATAAACTGTCTACTGATAGTAATAATTACTTGTTATTTTTAGTCATTATACTTGCCTCGGCCTTTTATCGCGGCGTATTACATTTTTTTTTTCGTCAATACTTGTGAGACCTTTGATCGAACAATAGAGGCCATCAACATAATAGTATGTAGTTATACAGTAAAATGAAAGTTTGTAAAAATTTACGATATTATCATAGCGAGTTTAACTCTGAAAATTTACATTAAATATATTAATGATCACATTCTTGTAGTAACATCAATATTAAGTTTATATAATAAGGTAATTGCGTAACTATATTGACAAGAACGGATGATTATATTCGGAATTTTTTTTGTAATTCGACAACAGCTAAATTATTTTCAACAAATTCGGGTTTAGACGAATGCTACCGTATTTGCGCGTTATTTTGTGACGCGCATGCGTGTAATTCGAATCATTTTTGAGGAATTTGGGTTACCAGAGGAATCCATGTTTATATTAATGAACTTATCATGAAAAGTTCGATCGAAATATGTAATATGGTATAAGGGGTGCGTCATTGGATTACGCGCAAATACGATACGTACAATTCATTGTATCGATCTGATATATTAGAAGTTATTTATTTTCGATTTCGCAATAAATGCGTTATTAATTAATGTGATATCTCAAGAATAGATGTCCCTTTTTTGATGATTTTGGATTTAGATGAATACTTTAATCGTAGCATTCTTTTATTACAGTTTGCAAAATTGTGTGAAATTTGCAGATCAAATAAAAAAAAAATCGATAATTTCTGATTTCCGATTTCTTAAATATAAATATAGATATATTTGCAGAAATAGAAATTGTAATTCATTATTTTGTAACATACATGATGTAGTATCTTTTAGAGAAATATAATTTGCACATTCATCATTTTGTAAAGAATTTGATTGTGTATACCAGGAACGGAGTGATGAATATCACACGTAGTGTATGGGTGTATGCGATCGAAATGGCAAAATCTTAGATCTGATTGGCCCGCATGGCCTTAATTGTCACATGCAGCTTATTTTTCACGTATCAAGTATCACATTGTCTGGCAAAAGTTGATTCGACTGTGCCTTACAATTTTATGTACGTACGTACATACTAAACCTTTATGTGCGTGTATATGCATGCTGGAAGTTCTGTCGATTTGAGGCCGAATTTAAATTTGATTAATAATATACAATACATAAATGAGTACTGTAATTACTTTTGAACCCAGCTAAATTTATATAACGTAATAACAATTTTGATATAGAAAATCGATAGTCACTGACTAATTGCTATGATAATTAGAACATGATTATGTGGGCGGCTTCGCCGCCTGTTTTTATAATTATTTACATAGAAGCAAAGTATTGTGTGATGATAATTTGAAACTGCTGTTATTAAAGATTCAAATATTAATAATATATATCTCAGATTATACCTATTTATTTTTTTATCTTAAACACTAAGCTAGATTTGTGTATTTGGTGACTTCATTGGCAGGTTTGTTGTAAAGTTGTTTATATGTATTTTAATGTTTTATATTGCGCTATATATATTGTTATTATTTACAGTATTGAAGTTTATAAACCAAGAGTATTTTTTTTTTTTTATACTGTAATATATTTGGTTTTAATATAGTTTAAAATTCTTTGTAGAATTACATGTAACTAATAAATGTTTCTAACTGATTATCCTAAGAAATTTAAACACAATCACTATATGTTGGAATTCTATGTACAGTGACTTCCATTTGTTTTGCATCACCCTAATAGATAAACATTAAAATCAAATAAGTTTTTCAATAAACAACCAATCTTTATAAATTTTATTTATTTTATTTATTGAATTCAAAATAATACAAAAATATTGTTATTTATTAATTTTATTAAAAAAAAAATCTGACAACAATAAATTTAATTTTTTGCGATGCATTTCTTTTGATTATTTTTGCTAAAATTTAAATTTTGCAAAGTACAAAAAGAAAAAAAAAACAAAAAAAAACAACAACATTAGTTTTAAAAAGTTCACCATTTAGTGTATCCTCCTTTTGTATTAAAAACATCAATTACTTGTTGTGGTATGCTTTCAATAAGCTTGTTAAGATTTTTTATATCCATCTTAACCCAAACCTTTTGAATTACTTCCCAAAGCTCATCTGGATTAGAAACCCCTACAGATAACCACCTTATTTATTGATCAATTTTATTTTATAAATTTTAATAGAGTTTAAGTCAGGTAAATAAAGTGGCCAGTCGAGTACCTCTATGTCATTATAGTAAAACTACTCTCAGTCTCAGTAGCAATGTGTTTTGAGTTATTGTCCTGTTGAAATATTATATTCCTTTTATTAATTCTATACCACCAGAGGGTTCTTAGAAGATCTTTAGTTAAAATTTGATGGTATAGATTCCTGTTCATTGTCCCATAAATTTGTACAATATTTTTAACTCCAAAGAAGAAAAACATCCCATAGTATAACTCTACCACCTTCATATTTCTTTGTTAAAATTACATGTTATTTATTAAGTAGTTTATTCTGCTCTCTTGCTAGACTTACTAATTGCAAATTTAATATCTGGTTTATAATATGAATTCAATATAGTACCTTTCTA